GAAACTTTTTCTAAAGTTGAGATTAACATAAATTTATATATGAAAATCCTTTCTTAAACAATCATTTTCTGTCTTTTATATACTTTTAAACATTTAGAAAATTCTTTCAAAATTATTGAATATAGTTATTCAATAAGTTATCATCAAGATGGAAATAAGTATACTCAAATCAGATACCTGTCGGATGTGATAAGAGTTAAAACAAAAAATAAAATAGAATCGATTAGTTGAATATAACATTTCTATTAAAGATAGTTATCAAAGAATTGATAAGTAATTCGCATGAAAAAAATAAAATAAAAGAGAACAACAAAAAAAAGAAAAGGTTGATTACCAATTGTCGTCTAAGTGTTGGCATAAATCTGACAAGTTTAAGTACACGTAATGATCTAAATTTACGTAAAACTGATAATCCACTATTTTTATTTCCTTGTAATTCAATAAGACTCATAATAACAATAGCACTATAAAATAAATTATAAGCCCATTTTTAATATATTAAAGACAGCCATCAGCAATTATTTTTAAAATCATTTCAATAGCAAATAATTTTTGAAATTTATTCCAATAAGACCATATATATTTATTCATATATATTGACATTTTTGACTTTCTTTTTAGTTTATTGCCATCATCTTGTTCTTCATTAATAGTTAATTTTTCATTTTCAATATATATTGACAATAACAATCACATTGATTTTCTTCAAGATATTTTTCTGTATTTTCAAAATCTAAATAATTTGATTTCATTGGTTGTTTATTAATCGATATAGTATTTAATAAAATCGATGGAATAGAACTATTATCTTGATCACAATAAAATGATGATGAATGTTGAATAATATCCATATTATCAAGATGAGCATTTGTTGTATGTATTAAATCTAATATATAAGATTGTTCAGGACTAGCAGCTGGTGCATCACCTATTGATGAAGATAATGATGCGCCTGTTCGATTTGATAAACTATCATCTATTTGATTATATCGACAATTTGATTGATGAATTATTTCTAGATTTGATGATGAATATAAATTCAATTTTGAATGTCAATTTAAATGAATTTCAATTGTTCTGGATTTATCGTTTACAAGTTCTTTTCGACGAGATTTTTTTTTTTTTACAAATTGAACGTTTTTCTTTAACCTATTAACAAATATATAAAAATCTAGAACGT